AACAATAACAAGTCAAGACGTTTTGTTTCAGGCTCATCGACATGAAGAAGGCGTTCGACTCCGTGGAGGCCAAAACAGTCATTGAAGTCTCGGGCAATCAGGGCGTTCCTACTCAGTACATGAGGACTATACGTGAGCTCTAAGTACAGCAATTTACGGCTAGAACTTCATCATTCCACAAAGGGATCATCGACGTGAAATAAGCGGTTCGACAGGGTGACGCTACCTCGCACAAACTCTTCAGCATCGCCTCGCTCAAAACCTTAAGCGCCGCTCTCGAAACCAGTATGCGTCAATTGGGACAGGAAAACATGTGAGTCAAGGTCGATGGCTGGCAACTACACCCCTTCAGTGTTTTGACGATGCCGTTCTTGTAACGCCGAAGATTGACCAAGCAGAGCGAAAGCTGGATTCCGACTGCGTCTGTGGTACTCGGTCAACAGCTTAACCTAACCAAGACGATATTTATGATGAATGGACTTGCTCCTGATGTCCCATTCGCGCTCAACGTATTTAACGAATGCTCCAGCTTCGTGTACTTAGGTCAGCAAATCAACAAGATGAAAGACTTAGATCCAGAGCTGAACCGGAGGAAATGTGTGCTATGTGGAGCGTTTGAAAACGTGGAGGAAGTAGTGAAGAAGCTAAAGAAATTTCCCTTCCCTGTCCATCTCTTTGAATCTGCAGTCCTGCACGCCTTAACCTACGCCTCGGCGACATGTACCTTGCTCAAATAGGACGAGCATGCGATGAGTGTTATTCAACGTAATGAGAGGACAGGCTTGGGGTAACCCTATACATCAAAAGCAAAGGGAAATGTGGAATTCCGAAGTGCGTCAACTGTTGGAGACCATGGGCGCTCTCGTTATCGCCCTAGGAAGTGGTCACGATAATTCTTATAGGGACGATAAGGAAAGCTGTGTACTGGAGTGGATAGGGGTCCTGCCCAATGTTAGAACAGGTAAAGTTTCAGTGGCAGTGGCCTTATCAACGGAGTGATAAGGTGCCGAAATCCACTTGCGTTCAGCAGAAACCAAGACTTATCGATGTGGAAAGATGTGCGATAAGAGCGGGCTAGATATGATACCGTTATCGTTATCGTCCCGTTTTCATTCTGAAGTGGCCCTCTTATCAAGCAGCCGCACCTTCTTATCTCATCGTATAATATCTTCCATGGGCTTACACTCGTCCAACAACTAGTGCCTCACACCTTATCAATTGACCAGATTAGTCCCCCGTCAACCGCCGGGACCTTCCTTTCCTGCGCAAGCTTTCTTTCCTCCGCTATGGTCCCTTCCTCCTGTGACACCAACACCTCCTGGAAGTGACGCGTATGCAACACAATGGTGTTTCATACAGTAGAAGGGACACAATCATGATGTGACGGTAGATTTTTCGCTTCCCTCCTCATTCTCCCTTCCTCTCTCCACTGCCCTCCAGCTGCCACTGCAGCACCATGTACCGAGAGAGAGCTATTGAATATAGCAGCAGGATGGCAGTCAGTTCACAGTAGCACTGTTTCAGCACGTAGATAGCGCCTCCATCACGAGGAATAGGACGGATCGGAACGCAAATGTAGTTAGAAATCAGTAAGCGCATACGGTGCAAAAGCGCTGGCTGATTTCCATAGAACGTATTACTGAACCTAAGGCTACTTTTGCTCTAATTAGAAGAGGGGGCTTGAACCCTATTGATCATAAATGGCGTGGTGCCTCTCAGGGCGGTCTCGTCTTTCTATGACTCTGCTACGTTTATTCACTGGAGAATGAGAAGACGTCTGCTATTGGGTTGTAGCTCATCTCCAAGCAGTTTCTATATGGATCCGCAAGCGTTCGTTCTAGCGTCGATTCGTCTAAGCTGTGCGTGACTGCACTTGCATTGCTGGATGAAAGAATCTCAGGTTCCATGACCGAGTGCAGGCGAAAAGTTTTTGGCCTCGTGATTTTTCCTGGACTCTTTCTCTTCATTGTGTGCAGTCAATTAGGGCACGTTTATCTACATAAAGATAGCGCAGAATTTCCAATGCTAATGGAGTGTCGAGGCGAATTGAATGTGAGGCGGATATGACCATATTCAGCATACTCGGGAGACCGTGGTTCAAAAAGGGAACGCGTTTCCAGGCGATATTCGATTACATTGTCGGGTATACGGTGGCCTCGTGGGTCACGAGACAAAATCGACATCGAGTCTCGATGAGTTTCAATCTATGTGTATTTGAGTGAATGCCGCTTGGATACTCAGCGAGTGAACATGATGGGTGGCTGTCTAACTAGCAAGGATATCGATATTTTGTTAAAACCAGTTTTGCTTTCGCCCGCTATTTGGCTGCATCAACGCCGGCTTTAGTGAATATTGAAAGACCGCCAGGGAATTATTAGCCATGAGGCCCTCCATTAGCACACCTCCTCTCTATTGAATATGATGTTAGACTTTTCAGTTTTCGCTGAAGTCCATCGAGAATACGCTAACATCTGCATTCTTGTCTTGATTCAGGTATTTAGCGGTGAATAGGATTGCTGTCAGTCTCAAATGAAATGAGTATGCCTGTTTAACATAAGTGGAGGAGCTAAGGCGCGTATGCATTTATTTCCACTCACATTATTAGAACCACGAAAGGAGTAACGTTTAATGAGATGGGCTTTCTTAAAGGCCAAAGTCCTGGCTCAATAAGGGGATTATGGCGATTGAAACTGAGGTATATTAAGATGCGAAGTGTAACGTAGTGGAGAAAACGCGAAAACCCTCGACAAGGTTAACAAAGCCTGCCTCTCTCAAAAGCAATGAAAGGAGGCCCGTGCTTGGGGAAGAGGCACGACAAGGCAAGCTTTTCTTGAGAATATTCAGATCGTTCTTATCGTTTGATACGCTATGCAACCATTGTGGCTGATTTTCCACACGTATGTTCTCACTGCCCGAGGTGTGGCGGTTCGTAGCGGGGCTAGGCTGGCGATAGCGCAATAAGTACGTGCCCTCGAGTGCCTTATTACCGGGTTTCCCCCGTTTTTTTTTTTGAAAAAAGAAAATTTTTTTTGAGCATGGAACATTTCTATGGGTGCGTAACGCAATTTCAGGAATGACCGTAAGTTTTGGTTAGGTTCACTAAGCCCCACCTTTTCCTTTAATAGCAACGAAAGTTATCAATTGCTGAACGACTGATTGAATTCATGCGTAATAGACTGCTATAAGTTTGGCTGGTCATCACAATGAAGCAGTGTGCCCGTATACCACTACAATAGAATTTAGGTAAGTAGGAAGCTCTATTGTCAACAAGCAAGCTGCGTAAACGAATCGACGACTTTTGCGTTCCTGGACGCCCCTTTCAGGCCGCATATCAGTTGTACCCTTTCTATCACCATGAACAATGTACCGTCCGCACCCCACATAACACGCTCTGAGGCATGTTGCTGTGGTTTCAACGCGCGCTGGGTAAGTGAATCGACGACCTTTTGGGTCTGAGCCCTTATCAGCCCGTACAAGTTGTAACCCCCTTTCTATACCTCCCGAATGTCTCCCGTCGCCGACCAACTTGACAGCCTGCGAGTGTGGGACCTGCTAGTGTCAACGCGAGCGTGGGTAATGGCAGTATCGACGACTTTTTGTGCGTTCGGACGCCCCATTATTCAGCTCTTACTCAGTTGTATCGCTTCCATTCATGTACCCACATTGTCCGGGACGCACTCACATAACACTTGTCAGTATGACGCTCTAGTATAATATGAAGCGAGCAAAACGAAATTGGCGATGCTCGTTTCTAGCCTCTCTTATTCAGCTATTATCCGTCGCTATCAGTTCCTACCACATACCTGAACTCTGAGCTCCCCATCGCCACCCCCGTATAATATATGTTAAGAAAACATGGCGCTACTGCTGTTGCTGTGACGCGAGCTACGATTTCGTGACAATACACACACACACAACACAGACCGTCACAGCACACACACAGACATACTTAGCGAATTTATATATGTAGGTGACCGCACCTGTATATCAACACGTCATTAATGTGATCAAACGACCTTGTTGGTGAGGATCATGCAAAAACTACATCCGCCTAGCGACGCAGTGGATTTTCTCTCAGGAAATCTCAAATTCGCTACCAACTTACGTGCATGCATCGATGGTGACGAAACTCAACGTTATGACGAGGATTTCTTACACGACGGTCTCACAAGCTAAGGAAGACTTAGTCGTAACTCTGAAAAACTGCGCAAGCAGGTTTCTGGAGCTTTGAACTGCGATGTTTACCACGTTACAGACACTACGCAAATCAAGATCAAAACGCGAAGAGCCTCAACAAAAGATAATCCTGAATAAGGCGAGATAGTGCTGATTGAGCAATGAGTTCATACACACGCAAGTGGGCTAATCGGCCAAAATAACTGAGTTGATCACAACGCAGATGGCAAGATCGCGTTCCTGCGAAATAAAGCTTCCGAAGAGTCGGTGCCATCCACGGCGCAGCGAGTAAACTGTACCACTGGAAATCAGAGGCAACTCTAGACACGAAGCGATGATACAAGGACCCGAATGGCAAGTACAACAGAAACTCCCTCATCGCAAGCAGATACACAAAATCACCTCGCCCGCTCGAGCATGCATGCCGAGAAGCAGCAAAAGCAAAGGCGTATGAAAGACAAATCAACATAAACAACCGCCACGAAGAATGTGCAGAGACGATCAACCCGGTACAGTAAAAACGCACGAATGGAATAAACCACCTTCTGACAAGGGCAGTTCACTTCAGTCAAGGTGTAATTACCCCCTGCTGCTTTTGATACTGCTTATCATAAGCGCGCCGACAGGCTGGTTTTTTTTTCTTACTAGAAAACACATCAGCTGCGCTCATGGTTTGATCTTATTCGACACCAAGTCTGCATTCGAATTGTGCGTGAACCGTTTAATGCACGACATTTTTCTGCACAGAAAAATTCCACTCGGATATTCACTTACCAGTTTCTCTCTTCAAACTCACCAACGAGGTGAAGATTCACATGAACATAGCATGGGTGGTTCAGTGTGTAGAAACGCTCGACTTGCCAGGCGGCGGCCCAGGTTCGATTCCGGCCGATGCACGCAAAACCTGTGGCCTTCAGGCCCCTGAGCACGATGTGGTCAGTGGAATTGGATACGACGTTTTATTGTCTACACCACTCTACGGCTTGAACACAGAGCAGCCGAAGCCCGCGCTCGGAGGGGCGGACGTCGCGCGAAATCTGAGAGCGCTCGCGTCGACCAGCGACAAGGGGCGCGGCGTATAACCGAGCAGGCTTCCCGACCAAAAACGCTTTCTCTGTCAGGGTCGCAACCACAACAGTCACAAAGAAAAATGTTGATGATGCCAAATCAAATCTAAGGCGAAACAAATTGTAGCGAACTTGCTGTACTCTAAATTCTAGAACCTGCCTCAGGAAAAAAAAGGGTTTTTTTGGTTTTTAGAAGAAAAAAGAAGTTCAGGGGAGTTTCTACAAATCCTGAAGTACTCTTCCGGGTAGATTCTCACAGCCTTACCGCTTCTCATCCCATCAAATTTCAAAGGAGGTATATGGGCTTTTGAGGACAGCATAATCGCGTCCAGGAAAATGGGTTTGAAAAAAATCAGGTGGGAAAAAACGGGACCGGGACTATTTTTGAGCGAGTAACTCTTTGAACAGTTTTAGCTCCTATTCCGTAGGTCTTCTGATCTCTAGTTTCTAATTTAGCCTTTGAACATGATGCAAAAAAGTCGTGTTCGAAAGCGCTAAATCGCCTAAAAAGTAGGCTATGAGGAAATTTATGAACGTTCGAATGTCGAAACTCGCGTGTTCACCAAGGAAAGAGGCGGGACGAATTTTTGAGTATTGAACATTCGTAATATTCAACATACTTTTTAAGGAGAGAGCAACATTAAATTTTTTAAAATTTTGGTGTGGCGGGTTCGCATGAGAACGCTTCTGAAGAAAAAGTAAAACTTTTCAATGAAAAACCTTCTGAGGTTTAGTTTTTTCTGATTATCAAACAAGAAATTGAAAAGACCAAAAACTTGTAGGTTTTCTGAAAGTAGGATTTCTGTGATATTAGCCATATTTGTTTACGCGAAAATTTGGAAATCTTCTAGTTCTTGAATACAACTTCAATTGTTGCCTCGATCCGCTTCTCTGAGCGATGACAGAGCGCGCGGATTTACCACGTCCGCCACTTCCAATGGTCGTGCCTGCCCATCCTATCAATGATCGAGCGATTAAATTAGTGAAAAAACATAATAAGTTATAAGGGGTGCATACTGAATACCTCACAAAAGGAAGGGGTCGTAAAATTTTGGAATTGCGCACAACGCAGATTTGACCCTGATCTATGGCTCCTTGTCCATCTCGCGTCTCGGTACTGGCAAAAGTATATAATTACACATTGAAATACCGCAATTCCGGAAAAAACACGTTAGTGATCCATTAGGAATGTAGGCGATTATACAAAAACGTAAAACAGCAATATCATGTTTTTGCCAGTCGCCGGCAAGAATCTGATAGGCCGTGGTGGTCATCATGAAAGCGACCACCTTAAGAGCTGAAAGAGCTGGGGTTAGACCAATTTTCCCTCCGCTGATGCTGATGATGTTCGTATATGTTGTTCACTGCTGCATGTTTGCTCCTCTGGAGCTTCTACCCTGATATGCTCACTCTTACTCGACGACGATACGATTGGAAAGAGCCAGGAAGGGTGAAGGGAGTTGCTCTACAAGGCAGTGACGATGATCAGTGACAAAGTGAGTCAGCGAAAAAGGCCATCAACTGTGATGATTTCTATTGTCAAAACAATATTAGTTCTTCGCTGTGGTCTATCCAGGTGGCGGAGCTGAAATGGATCTGGTTCTTCTTTTTGATGCAGCAGAATCGTTTGCCGAGAACATTATCCCAATCTGCGGTCGGTTCTATCCGAAAACGAATTGAAGCTTTATAGGAGGTTCATGTAGTTTCATAGAAGCGTAAACATGAAGGCGCATTTTACTCAGAACAGTTTTGGCTGTGGAAAGGGGTAGAGGTGTCAGTGGAAGCAGGGATGAAGACGAAACCTATGTGAAACGTGACCCGGCAATCCATTTAAGAAGATCCGCTTTCTCGACGTTTATTCCGCAAGTTGATCTGCTCTCACCATGTGCGTCTCCTTCACCGCAAGGCTCGCTCGACCTGCTCCCTGATCACTCAGCGGTGGCATAGAATCTGCGAGAGTGACTAGCATAATCGCCAGTGCGCTCCCGGGCCAATTGCGCGAAGGGACGACTATGTCAGATCGAGGAGGATATCTTTCGCATGGCGAATCGTGTGCTGGTCTCGCACCGATTAGATATCCTCTGTCTTTTCCATAAGGCAAGTTCCTATTCTTCCAAAGTTGTCTTAATCGTGAATCCTCTTTAAAGCGAGAGATTACGATAGGGTATGATGCGTTGTAGTGGAAGGAGATAGCGAAAATGTCTAAGTAGTAAAGCAAGAAATCCGTCAGAAACACGCAAAAATGGGACCACTTCCCACTGGCTCATTGATCTGGCTATCGACGAGTTGGGCAACCAACGCATGAGGTCGTCGGCACTCGTTGAACATAATACCGTACCAACCTGAGATCATAACCTTGATTGATAAAGCTTCCATTACAGGTTATTGGATACGCGCTCAAGTGGTATACCTTATCAAATGCAATCAGGCGATCTATTGAGGGGTTTAGCACCAGCAGTCGGCGGAGCGCAGGAGGGAGTGGTCGCCTCAGGGCGCTTGCAACGAGCGCACGGCTTCAGTCACGAGAAAGGTCACATTTCCAATTACTTTAGGCTTCCTGGCTACTGCTTTGAAGTGTGCTTGTTTTCTCCATGCTGCACAGAGAACTTATCGTAATCTAGCTTGAAGCGACTGAATCTTCAACCGCGTCCATCACTATGGTTCCCTGACTTGCACACGACACGGCAGGGCTTCAACAATTGGTTCGAGTAGGCGGGAGGAATTGTCATTTGCTGCTCGCTGAGCTCGCTCTCATTGTGTGCGATGGCACCTGGAAAACGCAAGGCATATTCGCCCTAACATGCGCATATGCAAGAACTGAGCCGGTATTTGATAATAAGTTGCAGCGACGCGGAATTTGGCTAAAAACTTGCCTTCAAGGCGGCATTGGACGACGACTTGCCTTTAAAAAACTTGCCTTCAGGCGCAAATGGACGACGTGATATTCGTGTTCTACGTTTACTCCTGAAGCACACGTACTAGCCAAGTCCACAGTCATGGACCAAATTTCCGGTTCACTCTCGCGAATGGGGAAATGTAAAAGGGTCAAACATGCCCGCAAGGCATCTTTTTTGCATTGGTCACGTCCATTTGTCGCATGTGGAAGAGGAATATAAGGCGCTTGAGAGAACAAAGGAATCGTACTATCTACAGGGGGGGGGCAAACAAAGAGGGGGAGGGTTGCTTCCCTCTACATTCAGAACGAAACTAGACTGCAACTGCGTAACCAAACCATCTAATCTAATTGCATATGGAGAGCACATTCTATCATCGAAAAATTCACAATGACAGCCTTTCTATACCCCGACGACATCAGAAAATTAATCCGACGAGGCATGATTACACGCTGCGAACTCAACGAGGTCGTCGAGATACCGTAAGCTATTATACGTCCTGGAACGCTGGTCAAAACGGTCTTGCACAGTCAACGCTAATGTCTCTAAGAGCTATCACCAGTTTCCGTCCGATCGAAAGAATATGATGTGCAGCTTCAGGCCGAGCGACTTACATAGGCCTCTTTGAGCTCTGACGGGACGGCAGATGAGTCTTTATTCTGAGACTGTGTGACAAGTGAAGGCACGGGGCTGTTCTGTTCATGGGGGGGACATTTAAAGAATTCTGCCGTAAGACATTCATCAGCTAACAACGGCATCCTGTGGCGACGTTAAAGGCCTAATGATGTGCGACCATGGGCAAGTGACTTTCTTTGCCTTCCCTCCTGTATATTCCGATGTGCGGCTGTGTTGTTCCTGCCTGAGCGGAAATCATAAACCTCACTTTCTCTGGCCATATTTACTGCGGTTGTCCATGAGCGATCGTGATACACGCGGATGCACGCGAATCAAACTGATGAAGGTTAATACATTTGCGTCGATGGCAATCCCTTGTTGGATGCGGTACGCATTCACCTTCCATTTGTATTAACATTCAACTCAAGCCAAGTGATGACGCAAAGCGTTTTGGGGTCCTGTTGGTCCGACGGGGGGGGGACTCTGCTGACGCAGCTGTTCAGTTACGAACGAGAACAGTTAAAGGCTGTATTTTTGCAACTGATGCGCTCAGACCAACCTAACAAAGGCAAATTAGGTCAAAACTCCTATGTATTCAGACAGGATCCCGCCCGACAGGACTAAGCCTGAGTTTGTGGGTGAGGCAGAACTTCGCAGGAAAAGCATGAGATTCCCACATTTGCTGGAGCCCCTCTCCCCTCGGTTCAACGTGCGTTGGCGCAAATGCTCCGCATCGCGATGGACTTTGTTTGTCTTCGTTAGCTGAGTGCATAAGCAGATGTCCCCGTCGACGCACAGAACCCAGGCTTGGCCGGATTGCCGCGCACGACCCAGGACTCATCCCCAAACCGTTATCCTGCGATTCACGGGATGTACACGCGTAGGGAGAAAGAAAGAATACCTGCCACAGGGTTTTTTTTGTTTGGAAGTTACTTCTATGCATCTCCCGTCATTTTCATCCACATGCAGAAATGATTCCTCTAGTGTATGTGCGTGTGTGAGTTTTTTTTTCTTTTTTTTGTGGGTTTTTGAGTGTATCAAACCAAGTTCGATCTTACTCTGAATACCATCTAAAGAATCAGGATGGTTGGCGGACCGGTGAAGGCTGTAGCAGAACACGTTCTACGTCCACCAGCTCGCAGAGACGGAAGCTTTCCGCCCATGGGGACGTTGCACGCGCCGGTTGGGCATGCTACCGCAAAACTTTTGGTTATATTAAGAACAGCGACTGAAAGCATGGGTAAGGTATGAAATGAGTTGATAAGCTCGACTACGTGAGCCGTGTCCGCGTGGGCGAGTGTTTTCCAGATGGGTCTGCGC